CTTAGCAGATATAGGTATACAATTTATAAGTATTAAAAATGTTGATGAGCGGGGTGGAGTGGTATACACGCCATAGGCGCAATTTGGGGGGTGCTTAGGGGTGCTTGGCACCCCCAAATTTTCGATAGCATCAGGGAATTTTTAATGACTATAAAATTATTCCACAGGGATTTTTATACATTTATTTCTAAGACTATTATTTTCATAATAATAATGATACATAGGTATCACTGTATCAGAATAATCAGATAGATAAAAGTGCATTATATTATAGGTAATTGTTTGTATTAAGATTAATGTGAATGTGTATACAATTAAGTTGTATGAATAGAGTGGGGTGTGAGGGCAAAGCCCCCATTTACCACTTTAGTCGATATGAATCTAGCACCCCCATATATTTAACCCAAATTGCGCCTATGATACACGCAGGGTTACCTCACAAAATGTTGGTTCACTACACCAAATTAATATTTTACCGGTTGTAAATACATATAAGGCACCTATAGTCTATACTATTACAAACACGCTATAAGAACAAATTGTATAAAGAAAAAGTAAAAAGCAAAAACAACCGCTTTATTTAGGTAGGTACGATAAAAATATAATTTTCACCCACAAACACTGCGAAAATTGACCATGACTGTACTCAATATTATAATACTATTACCCACAGTGATATACAATTCGACCATGCTGTGGGAAATGTTGGTGTTGGCCGCGTTGGCCAGGAAGCTCTACAAGAAACCGTTGCCGGACCAGTGTTTCGTTGACCCTCCGAAGATCACCTGTTGCGTGGATATGCCCAGCAACCAGGAAAACAACAACATCATAGCCGGCACGTACAACCAGTGTTTCGACATGAACGCTTAGAAAAATAAAATATAAAGTCGGCGTTCGAGTTAGTCATCAATGACATCAATGGCACGCGCGAGGATGGCCGTCGTGGGCTACTCTTTATTGGTTTTTGACTTTGACGACGACACACACGATGATGTAATCCACTCGTACTTATACAGATGTACCCAATATAATATATAATATGCATAGGCGTGCGTAGAGTTTAATCGCCGCAGGGTATGCTGCTGCCAAAATGTGCTCCTCGAAAACACGCAGATAAAAATAGTGAAATGCTCTTATAATTTATATACCTACAGCCTTGATGAAAATATTTATTATTTATTAATTATTAGTATTTATTACTACTGCAGTTGCCTACTCGAACCCAACGGCGTGCCCAGGAAGGAGGGGGTGGTTAGGGATTATATCCCCAACACATTGACCCATGAATCCACTTACTTGGGTCTTTGATTTAAATGTTTGTAAATATATTTATATACTTTTCATGTGTTAAGGGGGGTTTGAACTTCCCCCCCCCCAATGTCTACGGCCCTGTCAACACCAGCAGGAGACCTAGCTACTCATATGCGCAAGCGCATACACTCTGCAATGTATAGGTACACCAGACTCGTCCGCACGCTCATGCCTATTACACTAATTATATTATATTATGCTAATAGTGCTAAGTTCACCGTCGCTTTACATAGATACCGATATATGCGGAATACTGATTTATCTACTGGTATAATTATTATAGTGTATTAGTGTATAAGCGGATCTAATTTTTTCGGGATCGTCGAAAAGTGAAAAGAGCACACACAACATTATATTAATATATTATTATATACTTTGTACCCGACCAAAGACGCGTTTTCTACCTACTGTACATTTTTTTTTATTTTTAAATATATTTTTACGAAACATTTTATCTTTTATACAATATAAATTTATATCCAGAGTATATTATACATATTACCTTATACACATATATTAATTTATAAGCTTTGAAAATATCCATACAAATTTGTTTGCACCTATTAACCTATTATAGATTAACGATAATTTAATCTTCCTGTACACTTCCTGTCTTCCTGACTCTCGTCTCGTACAATTAGGCGACCGATTTTCGTTTCCGGCTATCACAAAGACACAAACCCAAGTGATGAAGAAAAATGTTCCCATACTAAATGGGAGACGGAGACGTTTAATATAATATTCTTGATTTAAGTATAATTTAAGTATATTATAGAATGCTGAATGTGTAATGCTGTAATGTGAGCGCTTCGATCAAAATGGTTTTTCCTTTGGTGGCCCTATAAGCTACAAATATTTCCTGCAACAAAAAAAACCTAGGTATCCATCCACTTCGCTTTAGTATAAAATCAATATATTATATAACTAAAAATTGTACAAATAAATTGGTGCTACTCTCATATGCGGACTACAAATGCATGTGGCCTACCATCATAAATGTAGACCACATATCGTAGTAGAAAAAATATAGATAAACTGCATTATAAACACGTACATCCACTAAAAGATAAAATAAAATTGGTCAGATAAAATGTTCTGATATATATGTCATATCTTGTATTTTCCAACTATGCTTATTGTTATTAAAAGATACCTACCTACAATCACTGTGCGACATTATAACGCATTTAATAAGTTTGTTAGTTACGTATTGGTCATCGATTGTGTTGTACTTTTTATATTTGTGTCCGTTTTACAAATCTACAAAGGAAGTTTTCAAAAGCACCGTGAAAAACAAAAAAAAAATTAAGGAAAAAACGGGAATTTTTAGGCAAAATCGATTTTGGTATTTGGTGTAACCTTAAAACGAATGACCACGAAAGATACATGAAATGTTCACTGGTTGTTTATATTAGAATTTTCTATACACGATAACATTTTCAAAATATTTTGAATTGTTTTGAGATTTTACGAACATTTTCAGTTTCGAATTTTTTTAGTTTTTTTTTCTATAAATATCAATTAAATTTTGTTTGTTGGGTAAAAAAGCTTAACAATTTAATAGAAGGCTCCTAATATATTTTTACAAAGGCAGATGAAAATTATTAAAAATATGGTCACAATTTTTTTTTTTATAAGCATTTCAAATTCAAATTTTTAGTATTTAAAAATGTTATAAAATATTCAACTTCCATAGTTAAGGATTAAAAATTTAAAACAAATTTCCATGTAAATAGGTTAAATATAAATTACTTTATTCACAATAATACCATCAAATATACTAAGTAATATCATAGGCAGTCTGACGGTTAAACTCTGACCGTCTTCGCTCAAAATAGTTTTTCTTATACAATATTATATCGTTGATGATTGAATTAAAATTGAACACCAACCCACTTATAACCTACTGAACAGCAGAGCGATACGAATATGAAGGAAATGTGTGTTCGAAAACACTTCAAATAACAAAATTCAAAAATACTAACTTAGTTAATAACCATTAGAATTTTTTTTCTTAAACAATAACTATTGCAAAACTAAATATTAAACTCAATGCTAAAAAATTGGAAAAACATTAGGAAAGGTCTAAAAACAATAATAAAACGCATATTATTAGATGATTTGCTTTTATTTTAAAAAAACAAAACAAAAACAAATCAAAACATAAAATCACTAATACTTTATGGATTTATAATACTGGAATACCTTTGTGATGAGTGCAGAGTGATGATTAACGAGAAAACTTAAAAAGTTAAAAAATAAATAAACTAGGTACCTATTACAACTAAATATTTTAAATGCTAATTTGATTTTTTTTTTTTTTTTTAAGTTTTGATTACAAAAGACAATATAGTTATGAATAAAAAAAACTAATAAATACTTTTGGAATACAATAGTTGTTGTTTATAGTGAATAATTATTATTTCTATTACCTACTTTATGATTATTAATTGCAGAATTTATTTATTTTTTATTTGTTATTATGTACACAATCTGTACCAGCTGGCACAATAAGAGTATGCGCTATATAAAAAAAGAAAACATTAATAATTTGATTGAAGAAGCCACTCATTGATGACACTTTTGCAGAATTTAAATAAAAGTATAATAGAATGAACGCATTACATAATAAAATATTAGTTAGTCAAAATATCAATAATACTATAAGAGTATTTAAAAGTTCAAACAAGATTAAATTATTATTTTAAAGTTATTGTATTTAATTGAATAATAGATATTAATAATAATAAGACTTCAACATTACAGTTATCAAGACAACGAATATTGCTTTATAGTTTATATATATCATTAGGTTATAATAGTTATTTTAAAAGCTAGGTATTATTGTATTTATTGCTATATATTTTAATAATTTCTATATGAGCTTGATTAGTTCCAACTTATTGTTTTATTAAATAATATTACAGAATGTGAACGCAACACTAAATATTAAAAAAGTCACCAAATTGTATTTTTAACATTAAAATCTAAAATAATATAATTTAAATTATAAGTACAACACAAATTATACTATAATAAGATTATAATGAAATAATATTTTATCACATATTGAAAATGAGCAAAAAACTACTCGGCTGTCTATTCCTAAAACACAGTAAGTGACATTCTTATCAATTTACGTTTTATTGGTTTATCTTGTTCCACATAGTATTCCGGTTGTAATGGTATCAAAATTGTTACTCTGGTCCTACTGTACTATGAGATATGGTCAATTATATACACTAGTTCTCCATCTAGTTGCATGGACAGCGCCTTCACTAATTTGCTTCTCCTGAACAATTTTGTAAAATACACTTACTGTGTTTTATGAATAGACAGCCGTACTGTTATTAAATAAAATGTTTATTTCTTTTAAAGTTTTAATATTTTAACATATTATCATTCCAATTGTGTGGACAAACAATAATTATTTCCTTATTTTAAGGTATACCAGAGAATGATTAGTTTTATTCTTCTAATGTATCTAATATAATACATTTTTATAAATTTATTAGCGTCTATCTATGATAGATATTTTATATTTTATTATAAATAGCATAGCTTTAGTAATAATAAAGTTTGTAAAAACAATTTTATTTTTACATTAGAATTATTTTTTTATTTGGATAATGAGAATCTATTTTGAGTTAAAGAATTCCAACCTTTCTAAATTAAAAAAGGTAATTTCCTTAGTCTTTTTTATCTTCTTCATTCAGTAATTCGTCAACTAATTTGTGAGTTGATTCAATATTAGTTTCCATATTGTCCAAGTTTGAGGCTTCACAAGTAACACCAGTAATTTCAATTATTTTTTTAGTACAATCTGCATCCACAGCATTTCCAGCAGCTGATTCCACATTATATTTATCAACTAATAACTGTTTCCGATTGTTTCGATCAATGATTTTTTCTACATTGCTATTATTAACTGAATATTCATTAACCATAGTCTTGATTTTAGCATTTATAAGTGAATACTCATCAATTATTGTCTCCAATTTTAGGTTTCCTTTAGCATATTCACCAATAACTGATTGAATATCAACATTATTTTGGGAATATTCACTAATCAGGGTCATTATATCAGAATTCCTTTTTGCATATTCTTTAACTATCGCATTAAGGTCTACATTCTTTTTTGAACATTGGTTGATCATTGAATCAAGGTCAGTATTTGTTTGTGAATATTTCCCAATTGCAGTTTCCATTTCACTTTTTTTCTCATTTTCCTTGACAATACTGTCGTCAACACCATTGATTTCCACTGCGTAATTATTCATAGCTGATTCAATATCAGAATTTTTCTGTGCACATTTATTCATAGTGTTTTCCATGTCATCGTTTCTCTTTGAACATTCATTTATTTCTTCCTCCAAATCAGTGTTTTTTTTAGAATAAGCATTAATAGTTTTTTCTAAATCGGTATTCTTATGTGTGTATTCACTCAATACTTTCTCAAAATCTGTACTTTTTTGTGAGTCATCATCAGTTGATTCTTGGGTGTTATTTGTGTTTCTAGCTTCACTTGAACTAGTAGCAATGTCTCTGTTTATTTTAGTTATGTCATCATTATGTAATTTGTTTGTCTCCTGAAGTTTAACATCAGTGTTCTGAGTAGTATCACAATCACCTAACGGCTCTTTAACAGTTTTGTAAGGGTTTTTCTCTAGTGAATTAACATTTAATTGTTCTCCATCGTTTTTGGGATAGACATTTTGTAATTTTTCTTCCAATTTTGATTTTATTGTATCTCCAGATTTAATATTTTCAGCTTCTGCAGCTTTTAATTTGGCTCTATCTGCCAACATCTACAACAAAATTAATTTGATTAAAATTACAAACAATAAACTTCAAAATATTATTATAAATTATTAAAGATTTATTTTACTTTTTGTTGGTGTAGAAGCATGCGACGTCTCATATTCGTACACAACTTGCTAGTCTTAACTACATCTTTAACATCATCTCTTTGTTCATAACGTTCATTCCAACTCTTGTTATCATCATTTTTTTCTTCAATTTTTTTTCCAATTATATCGTTTTTAATAGCTTCTTCAATTTGTGTATTGTTATCCTTTTCACTAGGCCCAAGTAGAGCACGTATAGCCTTTGCTTTCATTTCTAATTCTAAAATCTCTAATAATGTTTTCCCTTCTCTTTCCTTTGATTTTTCTTGTTCAGTTTCACTATCTGTTTCATTTTTTTTTTTTTTAGATGATTTCATTCGTTTTTCTTTATGATGTCTCTTTTGGCCAATTTCATCTTTTTTTTCTGTTTCTAATTTATTTTGTTTCTTATTATCATCAACAGAGTCATCAGAGTCTGATGAAGAATTCATTTCTTTGCCTAAAATAAATAATATATTTTGTACAATAAATAACATCAAATATTAAAATAATGTATTTTATGTTACCTACCTTAGAGCATTTAATGAGATTTAGGTTTTGGAAAAAAAAAACCACCCCCAGATTAAGTTTAAAAACCCCAGGGTTTATAAGGAATAAGAAAATCCACAACTCAAAACATTCAAATACAACTCAAAACATATGAAGGAGTTTGGTGCTACAACCTGAGGATTAAACAAATAATAGACGCTTACAACCTTGGTCTCAGCAAGATATACTCCCATCAAATGACAACTCTTACTTGCACACAGACTATTCCTTGATATATAGTAATGTTTTTAACATTAGCCTAGAAATTAAATACATATTTAATATAAATTACCTTCTAATGTAGCCAACACTCGCTTCTTTGACATGGACAATAACTGAATTAGACAATCTGCTTTCAACTCTTCAAATGTCATATCCTAAAAAGAACTAAGTTGTATTAAGACATACAATATAATAATTTGTTAAGAGTTAAATAATACCGTACCTTAAGTTCCGGTGGTATAAGTCGAGTAAGCCGTTCACCACGTACAACAGAAAACAATTGTTGTATTAACTGTTCAGGGTCATTTGCATAATGACTGAGAGGAAATAAGTTAGCAGGTGACAAGCTCAATGACTCTTCATCGGTACTAGAGTCATTACCCAACTAAACACAGTGTAATAGAAGTATGTAGATACAATTCAAAAGATATTTTACATTTTAGTTTTAGATAGTAACCTACTTATTTAAATTATGAATATACATATAGGTATTTTTCAGTAATCACAAGGTGGGGTTGTTAGTAATCGCAATTTGGTTATCTTGGATTTTTTTTGGAATTTTAAGTTTGGTGACCAGAGCCGTCAAGTGTAAGGAACTACTACTTGTCGTACTTCAACTTCTTACAAAAAATCTAGCACTTGTATACACTTACACACTTGGCAATGAAGTGAATTATCAGATGTGAGAGAATGTTACATTCTATTTCTACAGAAAAACCCACATAATTTATAATGTAAAATATGTGGTCTGGATAACTGAATCATGATTAACGACAATTGTTGGTAGTTGTAATAATTTTAAATTACCTATGTTTTTTTTTTCTGATATAGGTAGGTACCTAATATTATGTTTTATTTGAGCATTACAATATTTATAACATTACAAAGGAAAATATGGATAAAACTATGAACCTATATACATTTTTTTAACTAAATAACTTATAATTGCATAGATTAAACAAATTGACGTTGTATTGCAACTATTTTATAACAAGCCTATTTGACAGTCCAATTATTTGTTAATTATATCAAAATAAATATTATCATGTTAGCCTATGTGAAAATGAATCGGGCAAGACTTATTCTTTAAACTGTAATATTATGATGACCACAACAGACTGACTTAAATATAACATTATAATATTCTAATTATAATAACTAATGGATTGTTTACATCGTTTTTGATCGCTCTATATAGATTGGCTTTTTTCCGCTGATCGTTCAGGTGAAAGTCAATGGTCCTCTTCATGGCCATGTCTGATAAATGGTGTTCATAGGTAACAATAATAATTGCTCGTTACCACAGTGCGACGTTAAAATGACTTCGGAGTTGACACCGTCAAACACGGGAAAATAACTAATAAGTAATAAGAGAGAAAAAACACTTTGTAAGTAGTCGAGTACTTACACTATTACGCGGTCACTTTTATGGTGCGGTCTCTGGATTTTGTAATTTCGAACCGAAAACGACGACCAAAGGTGACAATGAAATTCATCAATGTATTGTATTAATCATGAAGACTAGTATTATATTAAAGTAGAGGAGACTAAACTTCGTTAACAAAGTTTAAATTAACAGAAAAAGTGAAAACACCCAATAACAGTGAAAACTGACAACAACGGACTACCGACTAAGATTAAGATAGTATATTACTTACTAGCACGATTATAAAGAACGTGTATACCTATTATAAAGAAAGTTCTTTATAATCGTGCTTACTAGTTACTACTTACTAGTCCCTGCCGAAAAGTGAAAACTGAAAAGTGAAAAACTAAAAATTGTTAACCGAAACTCGGAGTCGTACGCAGATCGCGCTGCGGTCGCATTAGTAACTGGCTGTTGCAAAAAATTGGAATTTGAAATTTTGAACTTTATCAGATTGTGTTTTTACAATTTTTTTTGGAAAAAAAATTATAATCTTGAATGGTGGAATTCAATCGTTCTAAATTTTTTACATTGTAAAATAGACTGCAATTACACATTCGTATTTCGTGCTAAATCGTGCCTATTGCCTAATGCATAATGTAGAAATTCTTCTAAAATTCTATTTATTATCATTTATTATCAATATTTAAATTTTGCGATTCGTTATCTCCATTTATGATTCACCGGTAACAACCACAAAAACAGCACCTACTGTTTGTGGATGAACTAGACAGTAGGAGTTATTTCTGACTATATTACCACAGAATAGATGAAAATAAACCTGATTTCATCTATTCTGTGATATTACTATATTACCATAGAACTCTTCTGAGCATAGATATTATACACGATGTAGGTAAAACCTACATCGTGATATTAGATATTAAAAAACATCAATTCTATCAATTCTATCATTCTATGATGGTTCTATGGTTGTGGTGGTGGTGAATGGTGGTGGTGTCACAGACGGTGGTCGCCGGACGGACTGACGGTATACAATAATCACGATTCACGGACCATCACCAAAGTCTGCGAAAAAAAAATAAATTATCACTAGGTATTTTTGTAAAATAAACAATCTACATTCTACAGTAAGACGAGCGTCTCGAGAGCAAAATTGCGCCACCAATCAGAATCGTTCATATTTGTTATCACTATTTGTGAAAATCACGTTTCTTATCATCCTTTATAAAAATTATAATGTGATAATATAATAATCATCAATCATACAGGTTTATGATGGGTATTGGGTACTTTCAATTCTATAATGAACTAATTCATTTATTCATGTGATTCAGCTCATTAAAATGTCATTGAATCACTGAATCAATTCATTATATTTACATTTTATAATTGTGACTAATATTTTAAACCTAAGGGCTAATAATTATTTATATATAATTTATATCTTTATATATATATAATTCTACTGTACGAGTGTTTGTAAGTTGAGTGGGCCTTTGAATGGTTTAGATTCACAATCGGACCCGGTAGGCCCATTCCGGGGAGGTGCTCAAACAGGAATGTTGAGATTTACGGTGGATATTTTTGTTTATAAATGGTTGCCTTGGGTTTTAAAGCTATTATAAAAATAAATATTGGTTGAAATCAGAAATAATTTATAAACAACGTTAATATAAATAAATCCAAAGAAAATTTTAAAGCTTAAGTCATAGATTTGGTACATTTAACGGGTAACAAAGTACACGGGATCAGCTAGTTTACATATAAAATCAAATTGACAAACTTAAAGTATAATATTAAATGAAAAATCAATCACTGTCACTGTATTATTTATATGTTAATATGTTATATTTATTTACTTTGAAAATACAAAACATAAAATGTTTAATATGTTGTGGTTTTTTCCCTTTAATTATATTTAATAGTTATTACACAGAATAGATGAAATCTATTCTGTGGTTATTATACCAATAATGATTATTTATTTATTTTTTATTATTTATAAAATCATAAAACCAAATAACAGAATGATTTGTTGAGTACTAAAATGAGTTTGGAGAGTGGAGACAGAATAACTTTTTGTAAATTTATTTGGAAAATATACAATACCAGTTTTGCAACAATTGTTTATATTTATCTTGATAATAATATATTATTTTGATAATTTATTTATAACACAGTACCAGGGGTACGACACTCCGTGAATTGGTCGGATCGGGCGATTGTGGCCTTGAAAATGGTCTCTAAAGGGGCGTGGCATACGTTACAGTAAGCAGTGGAAACAATTTTTCTATGCTGGAAACAACCCGACCCCGCGCAGAATACCCTGCCTATTAATCGGAGACGGTTTTTCAATACGGGTATAACATCATGTTGGTAAACGGAAACAGTTTGAATGTTCGGACTTCAGATCATAGGTAAACACTTCACCCATCAGCTGATCGAGTGTCGCTTCTATATTGTTCTATGACAGTACTTACACAGTAACACTTGTACTTACAAGTAAGTATAAGTTGTCACTTAATACGATTATGCTTTATGATTACCTATCTAATATTGATTTATCTGAAAAAAGTCTTCTATTTTTTTATATATATTATTATTTATTATCTATGATAAGTAACGTGATTTTTCACAAATAGTGATAACAAATGTGAACGATTCTGATTGGTGGCGCAATTTTGCTCTCGAGACGCTCGTACAGTAAGCAACACGGCTTTGGTAAACAGTAAACAGTAAACACTCGAAAGTATAGATGATAAATTGATAACACAACAAAGTTTCTACTATTCTACATTTTTACCTACTATTTTTTTAATTATTATTACTAACTATTAATTCAAACGATTTTATACCAATAAACTTAAATAAATTATGTTAAGCTACTACAAAAAAATAACATTTGTCTCATCCGAAAAATTGTAATACCTATTTGTTTTCGAACTTCTCGTTAAAATGAAAAACAAATTTGACCTGGACTTAAATGTACTCTGTAGGCTTTGCCTGCACAAAGGGGCCGAACTGCGTTCGATTTTCGATTGTGATTTTTCTTACCGCATCGAGTCATGTGTGGGAATAGTAGTAAGTAAAATATATAATAAAGGCCATTTGTAATATCAAGAAATTATATTATATTCTCAATCACAGGTACGGCAGTGTGATCTGGGCCCATCTTACATTTGTGTTGAATGTTTAAGTAATTTAGAAAATTGGGAAGAATTTAAACAAAAATGTATCTCTTCCAATGAATGTATTCAAAACTGCATCAAGCAGTTTGAAAAACAAAAATTAAATTTGACTGTAGATAATTCTATTAAGCTTGAAGATCAACTAGAAATAGAAATAGAACATGAAGATAATCACGACAGTACGTTCAACTACGAATTTAACAATCAAGACTCTGATAATGATTCATCAAAATCTAAGTCGCCCATTTCACTAACAGTAATGCAGTTTCTGCCAGTTATTATTTCATAGTTCACATAATGAATTCATTAATTTTTTCAGACACGAGAAGTCTACTTGAGAGCTGTTAAAAAAGAAGGGAAGACCTTTGAAGTGGCAAATACTAAAACATCTAATAAGAAAAAACGTCACGAGTGTGGAATGTGTTCCATACATTTCACTGAAAAAGAAACACTGTACAACCATTTAATAGATTTCCATAAATTAGAAGAGAATAACACCCCACATTACTGTCTAATATGCAATAAAGGATATTGTAGTTATAAAATATATCAAAATCATTGGACTACTGAACAAGATATTCATGGATCCATTCAAATTCAGGTATAGATAACTTTAAAAAATATGTTTATTACATAGGTAGGCAAGGTCGTATCTGAGGAGGGTGGTCCAAGGGGTGTGGACCCCCCCCTCCGAAATTTCTTCAATATGTTTTATTATTAATAAAATATTAAAACCGAAATTCATTAAAATTATAATATACATGGTATGGACCGCCGGGAAAAAATTTCCGGATACGGAATTGTAAACTACATTATTTTTAGATTATAGCCACAAAATCAGTGTATATTGTGTACAATTTTAATTGTGTGTTGCCAGGATAAAGTCAAAAACTGTACAATTGGTTGTGGACTATGTTCTTGTAAATTTAGCCGGTCGACCAGTCTCTATCGTCATCTCAGAAATCATGCATTGAAGAAGGACCTTATGCCTCATTTGTGTTCATTTTGTCAGGTGGGATTTATTGACACATACAGCCTTTACTTGCATGCATCAACCAAACATGATGCTGCATCAGTCACTGTAAATGAACCACTAAAAGTATTTATTTTTATTTCTTCAAAACAGTATGGTGCTTTATTCAGTTTAAATATTTAATCAATAAATTTTGTATAGGAATGTTCCGACGTGACAACTAGTCTGAATCAAGGGGAAGAATTATGTGGCAAAATGACTATTCCCAATGACAATAAGTTTGAAATCACTACCAAGCGTAAAATCAAAAAGCTCAACACGCTGGAGGACAAGCGAGCAAAGTATCGAGAACACTACAGGCGGTTCCAGTCAAAGACGTACTCGTGCGAATTCTGCAATGTCGCCTATTCACGGTTTTGCGACCTGTTCAACCACGATCGTACCGCCCACGACGACATGCCCAAGGAGTTCAGCTGTCCCACTTGCGGCAAACTGTTTCTGACAGACAGCCGGCTACAAATACACCGGAACGCGTTCCATGCCGAGAAGGCGTTCAGCTGCGACATGTGCAACGTTCGGTGCAAGTCTAAGCATACGTTGCGCACACATATGCGTAAGCACAGTGGCGTGTTCACGTGCACACACTGTGGATTAACAACGGCCAGCAATGCTGCGCTCATATCTCATGTGCGCATACACACCGGCGAGAAGCCGTTTGTGTGCGACCTGTGCGGTAACTCATACACATCTAAGTTAGGACTCACGTCGCACAAGCGCACCCACCAGCAGGAGGCGCTGTTCAAGTGCAACGTGTGTGGGTACACGGGCTCCAGCCATAGTTCTATATACATACACAGACAGACCCACAACGCAGATAAGCCGTTTGTGTGCGACGTATGCGGCAAGACGTTCAAGATCAAAGTACGGCTGGTTGACCACCAAAAGATACACTTTGCTTCCAAGGACTATGTGTGCGAGGTGTGTAACAAGGCGTTCCTGGCCCGGTACCAGCTGGTTCAGCACTCGCGCACTCACTCTGGCGAGAAACCATTCCAGTGCCATTTGTGCACCAAGGCGTTTGCCCGGCGGGACGGGCTGTCCGAACACATCAGGACACACACAGGTGAGAAAAGATATACGTGCACGGAGTGCTTCCGCACGTTTTCGTTCTACAAGAGCATGAAGAATCACAAGTGCTCAGTAGTTACTGGCAGTGGTGACGATGACGACAGCGATGTGGATGATGTCATCTGTACTGAGAGGGTAGAAACAACTACAGATCCAATGCCTGCCACCACATTGCAAAAGACTACCGAACCAAACGCGTCCACGTTGGACCAGTCTGGAGCCGACAACAGCGGCAGTGGTGTTCCAGCTTTTCCCGTCAGCTGCAATTTATCCAACGGCTGGACACCCAATTAGGAAGTGCTTTGTTAACTATTTAATTATAAATTGGTATGAATGATGGGAGATTTTTCCGGTGACCTGTTCATGGCCATGGTTTGACCAGCTATAAAAAACCAATTTTTTTGGTTAAATCTTCATGGCCTGCCTAAACAATTTCCAGGCTTGAAATATTGTCTCATTCTGCCCTGGCTGTGTGAGACTGAAAATTAGTTGGAACTCCTTTTTAAATTTCATGAGGGTTAATATTTTCTTGACGCTGAGGTTGAAACACCTAGTTAGAATTTACTATTGAAATATATTTATATATCTATACTATATAGTATATATACTATTTCTGTCTATATTTATGACCATAGTTATATCATTTTAGTTTTATACATATTTTATTATTATTTATTATATAATTCTGTACCCCGGATGTAAAGGATACCATGTCCATTTTTTTACGAAATTGAGTTAGCTCCATATCCTTGTACATTTTTTGCTCTATGTAAAGGTATACGGCACTATGACCAGTTATCATTAGTAACAAAAATAAGACTATGGAAAATAAAACCATGTCCACTTTTATATAGGCAAACAACACAATTTACACTTATCTCCTGTAAAATTACTATCTTGTGACATGGTGTCATTTTTACCTCCGGGGTACAGAATTGTTATCTATCATCTACTCTAGTAGCTACTAGCGACCCAAAAAAGATGAATCTTTATATATGAGTGGAGTGTACCGCTCTGCAGATTATGACGTATATGGCCTACAAAAATTATGTAAATGAATAAATAAATGAAATCATTGATTGTATATTTCATTTTCATATTACCTATAATATTATGTTACAACAGTAGTATTCACATGTATGTTAGCTGTTTAGATATTATGTCAGTATGTATAATTTATAAATAAAAATATCTAAAAACCTTTCAGTGTCTTGTTAATAATTCATACACATTAAAAATATAAATATATAATCATGAAAGATAATTTAGAAAAAATATTGTCCTATATATGCAGGCTGTAAGGATGGTGGACCAAGCAAGCTCAACTCAATGTTATTTTTTTCTATTAAGTAGAGAGCTTGAAATGGCTACTGAAGCCCCCAACACATAGTGGATTTGGTGGAAAAAAAGATAGAACTTACTTAGTTATTCTCATAAATTGATCCAAAAATTACTTTTAGTTTTCAATCGACAGATTAAACAACTATTACCTACTAAAACATTCCGTAGGTATAAGTCATAAGTGATGATTTGTTTTAAAATCCAACTTTAAATTTTATTTTATTCACTTTATTAATTAACACTTCTGTGAGAGATTAAATGATTTGACAGTATGTTTGCAATAAGTACCAAAGTAATATAACCGATGTAGGTACAAAATAATTTAAGGAATAGGTAATTAATTGCTTAATAAGCAGGTAAATTATAGAAGACCTATTTAAAACTATTTCTTTGGTTGTATTTGAAGAGACCAATCTATTGATGATTGTTTTGGGTCATTGACAGCATCAATATTTGTTTTCATATATTTCAGTCATATAAACTCATAACAAATGAAATTTTTTTAATATTTATTATCTTTGTTATTTTTAAGTTTTTAATTTGAATGAATGCTGAACGGTGACAACATACAGTTTTAATTTTATATTGTAAAGCAGCGTTTCTCAACCTTTTTTCATTTACGTACCCCTCGACCTCTCACCACTGCTGTACGTACCACCAAATGTAAATTTATTATATATTCACACACAACACAAATCAGATATTATGAAATAAGTTCGATGATGGAAAATTTGAAAAAAATATTTATTAATTAATTTAATTAGCTATACAATGTACGTATATATATATATATATATATAAGTAATATTAACTTTACAATTATTATCTATACTTTATCGTTTCACTCAGAATCTAAAAACACTCTTGCACAATTTCAATTATGTGACTTATAAAAAGTGTGCTCTAAGCCATCGATTTCTTCATTTCTTGTCTCGCACTTATATTGTGTGCACGAGTAATTTTAGATTCTGAGTGAAACGATGAATGTATTGATTTTACAATGATGTGTGTTTTTTTTAATTTTTAATTTTTTTTTATATTTTTGGGTCTGTCATCACGTTTTAGGACAGTAAAAGTGCTAGGATTTTCTTCAACAGTAGCTTTTGTGATAGGAAAATGAATCTAGTTGGTACTTTGGGGGGGTCAAAAGTGAAAATTTCACAGTAGTTTTCAAAAGCGGCGTGAAAAACAAAATAAAAATTAAGGAAAATCGGGAATTTTTACACTAAAATCCGTTTTCGAAAAAATCGATTTTGGTTTTTGGTGCAACTCTTAAACAAATGTACGTAAAGACATGAAATTTTGACTGAATGTTTTAATTAGCATTTTCTATACACGATAACATTTTAAAAATGTTTTGATTTATTTTGAACTGTTTAGGCACATTTTCATTATGCATTTTTTTTAGTTTTTTTTCTAAATATATCAATACAATTTTATTTGTTGGTTAAAAAAGTTTGAAAATTTAATAAAAGGCTCCTACTATATTGTTACAATGGCATTTGAAAAATTTATTTATATTTATATTAATTTATTAAATTTTAAACTTGTCGATTCAAAAAAAAATCGTTCTTCTTAAGTATTATCTCGTACTCCTCCTACTCCGAGGGTTTCCCCTTATAGGGGAAATAAATGCAGACTACAGTAGGTAACTTCAATACTGTCTACGAAAATCTTTCACATTTGTAGGATGACTCAAATGGTGTAAATGTTTATTTTTTTTTGTTTTTGGATGTGTGTTTAAAAGTTTATCTGGCTCAACAAAATTTTAAAACCGATTGATAATAATAAACATAACAAATAATTTTGATACCTGATGGATTATAATATAATAATATATTAGCTTCATTTTATAATACTGTTAAATATATTACCATAGTAATGTATAGATTGATACTTTTCAAGTTCCTCGAGTAAAATTTTAAATTAAATTAAATTTTTTTTATTCTTACTGCAGTCTACAACTCCTACCTACTTCGTGTTAGCTGTTGCCTATTACTGTTACAGTGTTACAAGTTATTGATTGGAGAGACTGTTATCACAGACTTTGACCACCGTTTTTCTAAGTCGAGCGTGTAAGGTTATCCAATAATATGTTGCCTATTTTTTCAAAGACTTACACCTTGCTAAAAAAAGCAGGTTTGCAAACCGTTCGCCACCTGTCGTCGGTCAATTTCGACATCCAACAGAAGCATCCCCAGGCTGAAAGATTGCCCCGAGCCAGGTAATTTCCAGGCAAAGTCGTATACAGTCCAATATGTTTACGGTCGTAGTATAAATAATTCTGTTTAATAATTAATCGTCAAAATTATTGTATGGCATTGTTGGATGGGGGGGGGAGGCATCTAAAACTGTTAAATTGAAATTCAACACTCAGAGTTGTGGTTCTTAGAATAATATTTATTTTCAATCATAGATATGGAGGAAGAAATGCAGTCACTATGTTGCCGGGTGAAGGCATTGGACCTGAGCTGATGGGTTATGTAAAAGAAGTATTTTTAGAAGGTGGCATACCAGTCGATTTCGAAACAGTTCAGATCGATCCAAAAAGTGATAATAATGATGATCTGGAATACGCTATTATGTCTATTCGTAGAAACGGTGTATGCATTAAAGGCAACATTGAAACACAAAGTCTCGATACTGCTATCATTTCACGTAATGTTACCATACGTAACGAACTCGATTTATTTGTAAACGCCATGAATGTGAAGTCATACAATAACATAAGTAGTCGCCACAAGAATGTAGATGTCATAGTTGTACGTCAAAATACTGAAGGCGAATATGCAATGTTGGAACACGAAAGTGTCAAAGGTGTGGTCGAATCCATGAAAGTCATCACTAAAACAAATTCTACAAGGTTGGCTCGTTACGCATTTGAATTGGCCAAAAACAATGGTCGCGGTAAAGTCACAGCCATCCACAAAGCCAACATAATGAAATTATCAGATGGATTATTTTTGGAAACTTGCAAAAATATGTCGTTAAATTACCCGGATATCAAGTTTGATCACATGATTATTGACAACTGTTGCATGCAGTTGGTGTCTAATCCTCATCAGTTTGATGTGATGGTTATGCCCAACTTGTATGGTGCAATTGTGTCAAATGTGATATGCGGCCTAGTAGGTGGTGTTGGCATAATATCGGGAAAAAACTATGGTGATCATTATGCAGTTTTTGAGCCAGGTACCAGAAACACTGGTTCATCTATTGCAGGTACCAACACTGCAAATCCAATAGCGATGTTAAATGCGTCTGCCGATATGTTACAACACTTGGGTCACAAAATGCATTGCGATAAGATCAGAACAGCTATATGTAAGACTCTCAATGAAGACATGATACACACAGCTGATTTAAATGGTACTGCCAAAAGTTCTGAAGTCGTACAAAATATCATTAAATATGTAAAAAGTATTGGGGAAAGAATCTAATCGGTTTTTTTTGTATTGGACTGGGTAACTAATATAAATCTACGTTTTGATGATTATACCCAGTCCAATACAAAAAAAAAAAAACGATTAGATTCTATTAACAATACTTTATACATGTTTAATAATATTTCTATGTATCATGTCTTCATTGAGGGTCTTACATATAGCTGTTCTGATCTTACCACAATGCACTTTGTGACCCAAGTGTTGTAACCATGAACATTAGAGGAAGGACGCCGAACTGTGTATATAAAAGTGGTCCGGAATTATCGCATTCCGCCAGAATGCGCGTCGGACCGTAATGATGTCGTTTTTACATGTACAGCATAGGGAATTTATTGGTTTTTTAATATTATATTCTAAATGGTTTAACTTATGAATAATTACTATAGAACATTTTTTAAAACCAAATTGCCCTCGATCGAATATATGTGTTTCCAATAATATGCGACTTTTATAAAAAAAGATATAGTTGTTATCTCTTTTTATAAAAGTCGTATATTATTGGAAACACTTATATTCGATCGAGGGCAATTTGGTTTTAAAAAAATGTTCTATAGTAATTATTCATAAATTTCACCATTTACATTATAATAATAAAAAACCATTAAATGTCCTATGCTATACAATATGTAAAAACGACATCATTACGGTCCGACGCGCATTCTGGCGGAATGCGATAATTCCGGACCATGTTTTTACGCTTCGTTCTGCTGTGTTCGGCGTCCTTCCTCTAATGTTCATGGTTGTAACATATCGGCAGACGCATTTAACATCGCTATTGGATTTACAGTGTTGGTACCTGCAATAGATGAACCAGTATTTCTGGTACCTGGCTCAAAAACTGCATAATGATCACCATAGTTTTTTCCCGATATTATGCCAACATCGCCTACTAGGCCGCATATCACATTTGAAACAATTGCACCATACAAGTTAGGCACAACCATCACATCAAACTGATGAGGATTCTGGATTAGACACCAACTGCATGCAACAGTTGTCAATAATCATGTGATCAAACTTGATATCCAGGTAATTTAACGACATATTTTTGCAAGTTTCCAAAAATAATCCATCTGATAATTTCATTATGTTGGCTGTGTGACTTTACTAAGTCACAGTACCTAAATTACATTACGTAAATGTAATTATCAATTTTAATTGTTATTTAAAAATGCATTTTAAATGTTAATAAAAATTCATTATGATTATTATATTGTTACATATTATATTAATAACATCAAAACAATAGTTGTATCTACTATAATACAGTTATACATAATTTAAGGCACAATGCACTCATCACTCGTCTGAAGGCTAAAAGCTTATAAATTGATAAAGAACCACTGTATCACCAAAACTATACATGTTTTATGTGATATTTTGTCATAATATAGTCACAACAACACAAGTCGAATTTATTAATTCAAATTATTTTTTATTTATTTTTCATACTTAATTTTTCTTAATATTCTTCTAGAGACTTCGACTTTGGCGGTGTCCAAAACTAGGATACATTTGTAAATTGTAGGAAATATGTTTCTGACATTGTTTCATTGCCCATAAGCGGTAAAAGAAACAAATGAAGGTAGGTACTAAGTACGCTATCGTGACCTCTAACTTAAATAAATCTTGTTAATATGTATTAACCACTAACGTATATTCTTCTGAGAATACGGTCAGTAACATGCTTACAATTAGCAAGCAAATCAACAAAACCATGTAAAAAAACATTGGAAAAGGAACCATTTTTACAGAAGCAGACAAACAAATATATACAAATAAACACATTTGCAGATTTGACTTTTTAAAATCAATAGAATTTTAGTTTTTAAAAGCAACTATTTAAATGTTAGAATTATTATAATATATTACACATAATTATTATTTCTATTTTTTTTTAAAATATTTTAGATTCTAAGTGGAACGATGAATGTATTGATTTTACAATGATGTGTGTTTTTTTTTTAATTTTTTTTTTTGTGTGTCATCACCTTTTAGGACAGTAAAAGTGGTTGGATTTTCTTCAAAAATATCTTTTCTGATAGGAAATTGAATCTAGTTAGTACTTTGGGGGGCTCAAAAGTAAAATTTTTGTAGTAGTTTTTAAAAGCGCCGTGAAAAATAAAAGAAAAATTAAGGAAAAACTGGAATTTTTACGCAAAATTTATTTTTCACAAAATGGATTTTGGTTTTAGGTGTAACTCTAAAACAAATGAATGTATATACATTACATTTTCACTGGTTGTTTATATTTGCATTTTCTATACACGATGAAATTTTCAAAATAATATGATTTGTTTTGAACTGTTTTCATTTTCCAATTTTTTTTTCTAAAACTATCAATAAAATTTTATTTGTTGGTTAAAAAAGCTTGAAAATTTAATAGAAGGCTCCTAGTATATTGTTTCAAAGGTAGATGAAAAATATTAAATATTCTTAGTCATAGTTTTTTTTTTATAAGCATTTAAAGTTCAAAATATGGAAAAATCACCAAAATTAGCAAATTATTTTGAGTTAAGAATTCGTAAAAAATTTTCTTTTTAAATCTAAGATATGAAAATGTAATACAAGATTCCTTATAAGTTTTTCTACTTTTATCAAAAAAAAAATGTTCTTAAGAAAGTCAAACTAAATTTATATGAGCGTTTGAAATTCAAATTTTTACAACAATGGATATTAACTCGATTTCTCATGTAGCGATTTCCTTATTTTGTTGTAATTAAAAAACGAATAACTGTAAATACATGAAAATTTCATTGAATGTTTATATTAGCATTTCCTATATACCATAGAATTTTGAAAATATTTTGACTCTTTTTGAGGTGTTTACGGACATTTTCAGTTTCCAATTTTTTTACTTTTTTATTCTATAAATATCAATAAAGTTTTATCTGTTGGGCAAAAAAGTGTAAAAATTTAATACTAGGCGCCTGATATAATTGTTACAATATCAGTTGAAAAATATTAAAAATACATACAATTATAAAATACAATACAATACAATTTTTTTTTATAACCATAAACACCATCCATAAAAAATATAAAAACATTTTTACATTTATTTTATGTTCAAATTTGGAAGAAATTACATATTAACTAACCAAGAATAACGATTTTAGTTATTTCTTTGAAGTTTAAAAATATTATTCGTGGGTACTTAACATTTCTCAAGTGTGTTATTATATACAAATATTGAAATATGATAATATGCAAATAATATTAATTCAATTTATCGGCTACCGCTACCGTATTAATAATAACAATATAAATATAATATAGGTATAATATCCTAGGTTGACAAACCGTCTCCGCTCGGTATCGTGTTTTGTATACAATTTTATCATTATATTCAAATTAAACACCATCCATTAGTCATTACAGTGACCAACTTGTACCTACAGCAGAGTGACACCCACTTACCCTCTTTTTTTTGTAAGTAAAACTGCAAGTGCTTAGAATTTATAGGATAATTTCAAAGTATTGTGTCATTTCAAAGATTGTTATTATAAGTTAATACAATACATTTGTATGATAAATAAATTATACTAGTGTTGTTTTAGTTTATTTAGTAATAAATATAAAATAATGATTTATAAAATTAATATATTATAAAATTAAGCAATAAATTATTATACTTAAACTTAATACTTAAAATATTTTAACTTTAGTGTATTTTATATACCGTCTTACAGAAGACAATTATCAGTTAAAAAAAATGCATGAAGTGGGGGGATTTGTTTATGGCCTCCCCTCTATATTATAAAAAATAATTATGTACAAAAAAAGGTCGGGCACACTCAATTGTAAAATTCTGGATCCACCGCTATTATGCTCCACGTGTTGTCTTCTGAATAATGCTAAAAAAAAAATAATAATAATAATAATAATATAGGCTGAAGGAACTCAACTCGAACAACATACTCTTAAAGCTCAATTGCAAAATTCATCGAATGAAGATAAGTTAGAAGCTTTTATTACTATGGCTTCCTATGAAAAAATATTTAATAATATAGATTCTTCGAACAATTGAAAAGTACGTAAAAGTAAATTGTTATTTGCTTCACATGGATTATATTTGATCAAGTGTCAGGTATTCAAGAGCAAATTAAATTATATAATTTATTTATTTGTTAGACGTTATACATTGCATTTCTGTATCCAACTACTTATTATGAATTATGTTCTGCATTCGATACTATATTATTTAAGGCCAAATTTACCATAGAATATTGTTATTGGTACAATGGTAGATAAAAATAAATACTGTAAAATATTTTTTGGTAAAAAATTAAAATTAGTTTTTTGATAGTTAAATCTAAAATTAATAATGAAGTCGAGCCTCAATAATTCGAACATCGAGAACTCAAAACCTCGATACATTTTTTTCTTGGCCCCTGAAATTTTTTTTTGTTGTGTTTGAGGTTTTATAACTTGAAAAACACACAATTTGAGTTTATTTTTCTTCCCCATGAGAATTATTTTATGTATATTTTTAATTTAATTTTTCTTGAAGCGTTTGAAGTACAAATTTTGACATAATTCATTAAGGTCATGAATATTTTTTTCCAAATTATTTTTTGTACCTATATACAATTTTCAGTTTTAATACTTATAATGTAAGCTTGTAAATTTAATAGATACCTATGTTATTGAAGTATTAGGTATCTAAGTACCTAACTAGTAACTGCCTAAGGCTCGTCATAAGTTGTTGGTAAATATTTTAAGCTGTATTTTATAAGTCGAACTTATTCACACCCGGTACGTCGGTTTAGACGTTTTATTACATATAATATATGAAATAATATTAAAATAGGTATAATAATATGCGATTTGTATGAGGTTGGTATTGACATAATTTAGTTCCCAGTATTATTACAAAATTTATAGAAATAAATATCTAGGTAATAATATATCCTTAAAAATAACAACGTCTCGGCTATGAATCTTTTTTTCGTATAGGTACCTACAGTCCTACAATGATTTATCATTGAATT